ATTTGTGAAAATCATGTGAAGAGAAATGATGGACCTTAGGAATAGGAAGGTCAGCTGCTGGGACCATTTTGAAAAAGAGGAAAAAGGATAAGGCTGGAAAGTCTGTGGACTTGGGCAAATTTACATAAATATCTGGGAAGATGCTCCATTAAACTTAAAGAAAATCCCAGAAAACAATCATCTGGGTGTGTGAAGAACTTCTTAGGAAAGAGCATATTTCTATTCAGTTGGCAGGGCATTCTCTGTCTGGGTTGAAATAATGGTAAATTTTATGGTTAAAAAAATCAATCAGCCAGAAATGTATGTCTGAACTGTCAAATGGGCTGAGGAACGGGACGGCTCATAGTCCATCCAGCAGGAATCAAGGACACGGCCTCACACTCGAATTGCTGAGGATACTCGCTTGGGCAGGGACCAAACTTGATTCATTCTAGTTGCCTAACAAGGAATTTCAGATATGTGTGAGAAATTCAGACAGAAAAACTAAAATTCAGTGAAGTAGGAGTAAGGAAACCTGTCCTATGAAGAAGAGGCCAAAAGAGCTGATGTTATTTAGTCAGAATGTGAGAAGGTGACGACAGGGTGACCATCCCACCGTTTAGGCGGCAGCGTTTGAGGAGAGGGTTGAGACTGAGCTCCCTGTCTCGGGAAGACCATCCTGTAAGCATTAGGCTCTCCTCTACTTTTGCTCAGAGTGCTCACACCCTAGAAGAGAGCATGACATGACCTTAGGAAGAATTCCTTGACTGTCATAATAGTAAGCTGCGGTTATTGGCTAGTGAGGAAATTTATGCAGTTCTTTTTGATCAAAATTGTCTAGAGACAAACAATTCTCTGCCTGGAGTAATTAGAACCTTTTGGGGGGAATGAAGATAGTTGGGACAGATAACTTGGGGAATCTTTTTATCTCAGATATTATGCATATTGTGGTTGAAAGGGAGTTATAGACCGAAAAAAAGGGGCAGTGTAACCGAAAACCTCAGGCAGGCCCTTTAGGTAATTTGTAAGACAGTTTCACTTTAGAGCTGCTCATTTTGTCATTCTCTACTTTGACTGCCCTTTCCTTACCTGCTCAAAGATGCTAGAAATATCACTTAACATTCTTCACGTAAATATTGTCCTGCTACCCAACTCACTATAGAATATTGTTTGACCAGAAACAAGCTACTCCAGGGTATAGATCATTTCTATTGCTGTTACTTCTCTGAGAAACATCTTCCTCTTCTATGATGGGCAGCTACACTGTCATTATTCCTTGGAAACCTACTTTCGCAGACTGACAGCTCCCTAGGTTTATAATTTCCAATTTAGAGGGTTCTTCTGAGATGCTGCATGTTTCCAGGTTGTTTTTGATCCAAACAGCACCTCCATGAGGAACTTTGAGGATTAAATGAGTTGATCCATGTGAAGTTCTTAGAACTGCCCAGCACAGAGTAAGCATTCAGTAAGCGGTAGTAGCTATTATTTCTGTTGTTTCTCTGTTTCATGTGTGGCTTCTCTGTATGCGTGTGTTACTACTGCTAGGCTCTAAGGAAGAAGGCTAGGTGAAGTAGGCCAATTGGTTGGACCTAAAGAGAAGAGCAAACCCTATCATGCAGAAAGATTACAGCAACTTCAAAGTATAGTTTTGGAAAATGTCTTTAAATCTAACCAATGCACAATGGAAAACCCCTAAAGAACCAATCTAATTATTTAGTTAAATGGAGCCGTTATGCTGACTTTTACTACAGAAGGCAAGCATAATTTAGAAAATGGGGTGTTTTAATTCTCTTTTGTTTTCCAATTAACGCAATTGCTCTAATAGGGGGTTCTCGTGCTTGAGTTATGTGTCCTATGAGTACATCGTCCATACATAATTTCAGTCTCTCTGTCTCTCTTTCTCATCAAAAAACAAAATCCTCACCTGTTGACATAGAGGTTCATTTATTGCAATGCTCAGGCTGCCCAGACTATGACCTCATAGCAGATATCTTCCTGCCCTCAAAGCTGCCATGAGCAGCACAGGCCCACCATGCAACTCTGCTTTCCCTGCTGGCTGTAATTAGGATGTTGGAGTAACGCAGCTCTCACTTTTTTGCTGATGCCAGCTTACCACAGCAGACCACATGAGTTTACTCTTAGTTGAAAATGGTAAGGAAAATGCTAAGAGCATTCATTTTAATTGGTCAACATTATATGGACCTTTAGTACCACTGTTTTATGGTCCTGTGTTTTAGATTTCTTTCTGCCACTAGCCATGTCAGCCTATTGTGGGGGGTGTTCTTATTTGCATTTGATTATCCTTTTTATTATTATTTTGATTGTTACTTGATCATTAATTATTATTCAAAAAGTTTTATCCTCTTCATCCTTAAGTAACATTTCATCTTTAAGTTTTATCCTTACCTAGATAACAATTTCATCTGCCCTAATATTTATTAAATTCTCTATAAAAGACTGACGTTTTCACATTGGTGAGAAATTAGTTTTTCATCAAATGGTCCTGGAGACTGGGATAGATGGCAGAGATGTTTTTCTTAAATGCTTGCTTTGATGCTGATGTTTCATGGCTAAAAAATGGGTCAAATGGACACTGTGTGGTGGTAATGGCAGGAGATGGTGTTGCAAGTGATTCTGTAATGTAACTAGACATGTTTTCTTCTGCATTAATTGGACAGATTTCCCCCTGAACTCTGGAAAATGTTTAATTTGTTACTCTAATATGAAAAAGACAGCATAAAATAGGAGAGAATGGTGAAAGAGAAACGTGTGTTTTTAGAAAGTGAACTCATTCTTCTTTTTTTTTTTTTTGAGGAAGATCAGCCCTGAGCTAACATCCATGCCAATCCTCCTCCTTTTTTTTTTTTTCCCCTTTTTCTCCCCAAAGCCCCAGTAGATAGTTGTATGTCGTAGTTGCACATCCTTCTAGTTGCTGTATGTAGGACACGGCCTCAGCATGGCCGGAGAAGCGGTGCGCGCCCGGGGTTCGGAACCGGGCCGCCAGTAGCGGAACCGCTAAGCCGCCGGGCCGGCCCCTGAACTCATTATTCTTAAAGGTCTTGGCAGGATCCGGGAAGTTGGGCACTGTTGTGAGGAGAGGAAATGTGCACTTTGCCTTGGGAGTTGACGGAACACTTCTTACCGGGGGCATTCACGGTGGCTGTTGAATTAGACAGCAGTGCCACTGATGCGCTGCGGCCTGAGCAGCGCCGGGGCTCCTCTCCCAGGCCTGCTGCCCCTCCCTCTCCTGGAGCCCTTCTCACCCAGGCCTGGAGGAGAGCAGGGGCGACTCGTTCTGACCAGCCCCGCCAAACTGCTCGCTTGCTTTAGTCAGATGGAAGAAGTTCATAAATAAATATTAAAATGGGAAATTATTTCATGCAGAGAGATGATGTCGAAGAAGAAATTATGAAGATCAAGAGTAAGCTTGCCTAACTAGTGTCAAATGACAAAACTAAAAGAATTTATTAACGAGTTTGACGTCCTTTATTCAAGAAAAGCAGTCCGAGGGGCGGGGGAGGGCGGGGCCCCAGGAGCAGCGGCGCCTCTTCCCGAGGGGTGTGGGGCAAGAGGGAGGTTTGTAGAGCGTTAGAAGCGGCAGCACAGAAACGGGGGTGATTGGCTGGGGCTGTGTATCTGACTTCTTTAGAAAGATCAAAGAACAAGGAAATAAGTATAGAGCCCAGAGCTGGCTTGGTGTTCGGGGATTGGCTGACTGGATATTCTGCGGAGCATGTAGAGGAACATGAAAGGTCCGTCTGCTGATGTGGCACCCCGGGCAGGAGTTGCTCCTTCTTGTGTCTAGAAATGTATTTAAACAGTAGAATTTTTTTTTCTTTTTAAGGAGTGGAGAATAGGTAGAGGTAAAAGAGAAATTTAAATTAATTACAACTAGAAAGCCTTGACATTAAGGCTAAAAAACCAGAAGTCAGGAAGTGTGTGCAGAACAGAGGATTAACAGTTTGTAGTGACATTGAGAAGGTCCATCAATATGAGTATAAAATAGTCGTTTAAAATTCATAATTTAAGAAAAAGTTATATCTTTAAATTAATTTGGAAGTTTTTATATTTTTTAAAAACATTATTGTTTAAGGCTCAAAATCAGGGCTAAAGAAAATAAACAAAAGCTGTTCCTGATTTTATGAAGGATTGATTTTCTGGCTCAAATATCAACTATTCCTCTGTTATACTCTAAGAGTAATTATGAGGCTGGTGATAATAATAACTATCATTTATTGGAGGTTTGCCCTAAGCCACAGGGGGACAAACAGTGGCCCCTGGGCCAAATCTACTCTGCCACCTGTATTTGTAAATAAAGTTTTATTGGAACATAGCCATGCCCATTTGTTTATGTATTACCTACCACTGCTTTCACACTACAAAGAGAGTTGAGTCATTGCAACAGAGGCTGTATGGCCCTGCAAGGCCTAAAATATTCACTATCTGGGCCTTTACTGAAAAAGTTTGTCAACTTCTGATTTAAGGTAAGCACTGTTCTTCACATATATTGTCATTTAATCCTTATAACATTCCCAGGAAGTCAGTGTCTTATCCTTCTTTTATAGATAATGAAATTGAAGCTTAAAGATGTTTAATGTCTTGCACAGAGACACCCAGCTGAGTGGAAGAGTCTGGACTTGAACCCGTGAGGTCTGACTGTAGAGCCTGCACTTTCCCTCTGGGTCCAGTTTCTCTGTCCTTAGGCTTCAATGAGGTGGCATATCATGCTGGTTAATAGCAAGGAAGACCCTGGAGCCAGACAGGTTGAATTCAAATGATCTTGGGCAACCAATGACTTAACTTCTTTGTGCTTCAGAATATAAATGTCAGCCAACATTACTATTATTAGCCTCTTGTTTTGTAGATGAGATTCTAAATCTCCAGAAATTCAAAGACCTGAGTTGACAAATGACTACAGCATTATTCTACTGCTAGATAGACACATATATTTCAGAGGGATGATGGCTTTTGAAAGGTGAAATCGTGAGTCAATGTTAATTTTTTTCCATTTTAATCGACAGGTCCTTCATAGACAGCAGTCTCAGCCAGCCAAGGAGAGTTCTCCTCCAAGAGAAGAAGCGCCTCCCCCGCCTCCTCCGACTGAAGACAGTTGTGCCAAAAAGCCGCGGTCTCGCACAAAGATCTCCTTGGAAGCCCTGGGGATCCTCCAAAGCTTTATTCACGATGTGGGCCTGTACCCCGATCAGGAGGCTATCCACACTCTCTCTGCCCAGCTGGATCTCCCCAAACACACCATCATCAAGTTCTTCCAGAATCAGCGGTACCACGTGAAGCATCACGGGAAGCTCAAGGAACACCTGGGCTCTGCGGTGGATGTGGCCGAGTATAAGGACGAGGAGCTGCTGACGGAGTCTGAGGAGAACGACAGCGAGGAAGGCTCGGAGGAGATGTACAAAGTCGAGGCTGAGGAGGACAACTCGGAGAAAAGCAAGGTGGCGCCCGCTGACGCTGACCAGAGATAATGTGAACTCCACCAGGCCAAGCAATATGGCGGCCCAAGGACTTTCTCTTTTAGTTTCTTTAAAAAAGAACCTTTTTTGCTTTATTTTATTTTTGTCTTTTTTTGTCTGTTTTGTTTTTCTTACCTTTTTTGATGTTTCTTTGTTGCACAGGATACACCTGTAGACTGAATAAGTTCAGTATTTCCGAATCAGACATCGCCTTGGCAAAGACACTAAAGTGTTACACTTTTACAATTGACTGGATCATAGTCATTATAATCACAGGAGACTCTGCCTTCATCATCCTTGCACTTACAGAAGAGACATCAGGCAAGTTCCAGGATGAAAAGACCTCCGGAATACATGAAGGAAGCTACAAGTGTGTGTATATGTATGTGTATGTATCTATATATTTACATATATGTATGAAAATTGCATGGGACAGAGAACTTTACAATCCGAAAGAATAGACTGTGAAATGAGTTCTTAAAGAAGAGACTTGTTTATGTATTAAAAAAACCACTTCACAGTGAGTCGCTCTGGCTTTTTGATAAACTGCGGCCTGCTCTCAGGGTGGGGTGACTATTTTTGAATTCCTATTTATTTTCTGTGTTTGTCCCTGATTTTTTTTTTTTTTAATTCTATGGCTTCCTATCTGGCAGCTTGATGGGTAATTTTTGAGGTATGTATTTAACAAAATAAATCAACACTGCCAAAAAAAAAAAAAGAGAGAAAGAAGAAGAAAGTAAAGTGAAAAAAGATCAGGGCACCTTAGAATGACGATACAAGTGACGTCACTTCCAGACACAACGCACACTTCAGTGACTCGTACACTCTGTTACCCGCTGTCATTCCTGTAGTGAACAGGTGCACTTCTGTGGAATTCCAATGAGTAAAGCGGAAATTCAGTGCAGAGAAAACCTGTCCATTAGTGCAGTCTCGATAAAATGACATTTTGACGTTGGACATATGGAATTTATAGTATGAGCCACATTTTATTGTGAAGTTTATTTACCTGCTCGTGGCTTCAAATCTTAAAATTAATAGGCCTGCTCATTTAAAAGTTGTTTGTTGTTGCTGTTTTCTTTTTTGGGTTCTTTTTTTTTTTTTAATAGAAAATAGTTCGATGTAATGTTAAGTTAGAAAAGAAGTTGCTGCCCACTTACAGGGGCTCCCTCTCAGACAAGTCTCCATCCTTCTGTCTCCCAAAAGTTGTTTCTTATTTCTGTCTCACTTTGGGCTTCCTCTTCTTTGTACACATTCCATCCACCAAACCAAACGTTTCCAGTCCCCGCTCTCACAAGCCTCGTCCCTTCCCTGGTGTGGCAGCCCTAACCTGTTTCTGAATCATGGTGCAGCTCCAGGCAGTAGAGTCAGCAAAGCGATTTCAGTGGAATCACCTACTCGTCCTAAACGGAAACGTTTTCCCCGTTACCTACACAGCAATGACCTGACGTAGGGCAGAACTAATGCCAACTGGCTGTGTAGTGGAATGAGCATTAAGGCTGCAATCTGCTCTAGTCCTCCAGACTGCCTGTAGCTTCCTTTCAGATACACCAGTAGCATTACTTCCCACTTCTACTTCTAGTAATTGCCAGAGGAGACCTCGCCTTCAGGACTGGCCAGGTGAACCCAATCCACGCTTCAAGGTAGCCGTCAGACAGTCCCCCGTGGTCGGATTTCTTTTGAGTTGTGCTTTCATGCAACCTTGTCAAAGACCTCATGCAATATTACTTTGAAAGTTATTTTCTGTTTACTACACAAACATTGTAATATAACTGTTAATACTATTTATATATTTGAAAGGTATAAAAGGTAGGAGTTGAAAAAAAACCTCTATGTGTAGATATTAACTCAGAACTTACAATATACAGGGAGAAGACACGTTGCAATACAAGCTAATTCTAGCTGCTCAGTAACCTCTGGAGTTTTTAAAGGGACATTTTCCTGTACTTTTTCAAATAACGATGTTTAAAAAATTACCTTGACACGAGCGTCACGCACCTTTGCAAAAGGATGGTTGTTTGCAGTTCTGCCCTGGGCCCGTCCTCCCTCTTCCTGTAGCCACTGCAGCTTTAATCCACGAGTCCGTGGTTGCTGCTTCCTGATCTCCGAGTTACTCTTTCCAGATTGTCTTCTTACACTGTTGCTGAAGGTCACTCTGTACACGTAATGGAAACTGATTTTGCCAAGCTCTTACAAGGTGGTTCATCTATCGATGGCATCCGCATTTGGTATCTTTTACACTTCAACCAAAAATTTATTAGGTATTTTTCAATGCTAAGTCTTGCCTTTTATTTTTTAATTTCACTGCCAAGTTTGCAGTGGTTCTAAGTGAATCTGTGGGCATTTTAGCCTGTGGTCTTGCCAGATCTTTGCGAATTACAATGCATATATGTCTATTTATTCAATATCTGTCATATAATATCTATTTGGAAGAAGAAACTTTCTCTTGTAGTGCCTCTTGACAAAGCACAATTTCCCGCCTTTTTTTTTTTTTGTGAAATGAAAAAACAAATTGTGTTTTATTGCGGTATCAACAATGTGAATAAGGATTAACATATTGTAAATGTTCTTTTTTCCATGTAAATCAACTATCTTTGTTATCACTAAGTGATAATTAATTTTTAACTTATGTGCATTGTTAGGCTGTTAGAATTTTTTGGTTGTTAAAATAAAACGCATTCAATAAATATGACTTGGTTTGTCAAGTATTTTACTGGGCCTTGCCTTCTTTCCCATTTCACTTTTCATGTAGAGGGAGACCTGGTGAGTGTAAGGAAAATCCGTTCCCTTATTTTAGAAACAAGACAGCGGTACCCGAAATTACAGATGTTTGAGTCCTGGACGAGGCATGGATTTAATTGTACATGTGAACATGTGTGCGTCTCGGTGTGTTTATAAAATGCATGCATGCTCACATCCTGGAGCTGGCTACGGGTAGAGTCATTTATCCAAACGTTTCGTCGTATACAGACAAAACTCAAATGTATAAAGATATATTTATGGGCTGGCTTCTTTATTTTTCTAGTGAATATTTTCTGTTTATAATTAAAAACCACAGATGACTGCGTGTCAGGAAACTTTTGGAGCACATATGTCCGTGGTTAATGGACATCATAAAAGTCTTTTATATTTAGATCTGGGATACCAAAATGTGTACACAGAGGAACGGCGGAAGGATTGATGTAGCCGAGAAATCTGTGAAAATGATTTTTTAGAAAGTGCTTACAGCGGAAAAAATGGCTCAAAAGACTAAAGTTAATAAGGAAGGAGCAAGTGCTTAGCTTCAGAACCGGCGAAGAGAAAGTAAGTTAAAAAGTGATTTTGTTTTCTTTTGGTACTGTAAATCATCTTTCCTGGTTTTTTTCTTTTTTCATTTTTTTGCCTTTGGTTGACGTACAGATGTAATTTTTCTTTCTTCCTCAGTGTCACTGACCTTTTTTTCCCGTGATAGTTGACAGCCCGTGGGCCATGTAGGTGCGTTTCAAGGTTTCAAGGACGGTTTGTGGAACCTGGATGTTTGCAGAAAGGCAGACAGCCCCAAAGCACAGAGCACTGCCAGTTTCTAAAGAACAATTAGAGGCTCAGTACAGGGTGAAAGGCATTACTTATGCAAATGTAACTAAATTCTGCATTTCGGATAGAGACAGGGAATGAAAGATGTGTGCGACTACCTGACTTGAGCACAAGCAGCTTCCACATGCGTGAGGTCGTGTTTTCAGGGGTCAAACTTCATCAGAGGTGACAGACTCATAAGTGGGAGGCTCTGCCCACAGATGGACTGGCTTCTGCCTAGAAGGTGGTGTCTGTGCTAGCAACTTCTATTTCCAAGAAAGCAAAAGTAGATTTCTTGACTATACGTTGTTATATTATGGCCTCTCAGAGCCGTCACTTCATGGCTTGTTTTTGTCTTTTTTTTTTTTTCCCCCGAGAGGAGATAATTTCCTTTACACTATTATTTCCCTTTCTGAAGAATTTTAAACAAAGATTAAAAAGTCCCCATGTTTTTTCTAAAGGGCAATCATGGCATAATCAGACAATAAACATTGATTAAACGTGTACTCTATGCAGATAATTTGCTAGGAACTGAGGTGACAAGGAAAAATGTATGATTTGGCAGTCTCCCTTCCAGGAGCTTATAACTTGTTGGAAAGGCATGATTTAAATCCAGGAAAAGTGAAATGGCTGTATAACGGTTGTCTCCAGACTATGATTCATTTGTTTAGTGACTGGTGCAAACATGTGCTGTGAATTTAGAGAAGGAAATAATATTTATTTGTGAGCTAGAATAGTCTTGGAAGGTGGATCACTTAGGATCTGCTGCATATAATAGAAAAAAACACAAAGTAATAATGACCCAAGCAAAGGAATAGTTTACCTGTTTCTTTGTAAAAGAAATTGTTGAGGTAAGCTGGCTTCATGAAGTTTTCAGGAAGTCACACTTCATCCAGCTCCCAGCTCCACTTTTCCCTGTGTTCTTGTGTTTCTTCTTCCTTATGGTCCAAGATAATTGCTAGAGCTCTCACCATCACACCCACCTTCCAGACACCAGGATGGAAGGAGGAGTAAAGAATGGCATACTCCCTTTCTTTTATGGAGACTTCTTCAAGCCCTACACTGAATGCAAGGGAGAGTGTTAAATGTTTCTAGCTGTTCCATTAATTCCAGAGAGAGGGGGAGAGTGGATGTTTGGTAGGCAACTGACTGCCACAGAATGTGTCAAGAAGGACGCTGACAATAATAGATAAGGAAAGGATAAGTGAAGAGGCACCTGTGCCCTGCTGCTAATCCCTGTACCTTGAACTTCTTCCTCCTCCCCACACTGTTTTCTTTTCCTGGCTAACTTGAAGGCTCAGTCCAAGCATCACCTCTTCCAGGAAGCCCTTCCTACGCTGCTCGGCCAGTGCGCTTACAAATCCTTCCACACTCACACAGCTCCCAGAGTGTTCTACTGTCACAGGACTGTCACAGGACTTGTGGCACATTGTGATTGCTCACTGAGAAGGTGTGAAGTCTGTCTCTGCATTCGTCCACTCAGGAGACAGGGGTGGACAGGTGGCAGTGACACAGGCCCTGTGGAGACAGGTGTGACAGTGTTCCCTCTGGATGAGCGTGTCCAGAGTGAGTCAGAGACAGAAATGAAGAGTGAAAGGTGCCCTGAGGGACGGGTGATTCAGAACCCTGCCGGTCCAGTATTGCTAGGAAATAGCAGGGCCAGGATGTAAATCCAGGTCTGCATGACTGCAAAGCTTGCATTTTCTCCCCAGTACCACACCACCTCTCTTTTCATGTCCTAGAAGTCCTAGAAAGGCTGTATGAACTGAACATCGATTTATTGGCCAACAAATTTTATATGAGATGACCTTCTGACTTCTCTTAACACACTTTTTCATAATCTTGTCTGAGTATGACATTTTGGATGGATTTTTGTTCTGAAGGGAAAAACCTATTTTTAAAAAACACCATGCTCTGCTAGTAAAACTGTCCCAGAAGAATCTAGAAGTAGCTTCTTTGGTGATGTTTTAAAAGGTTTAAAGTATTACCTTCACATATGGTGAAATAATTACAAAAATATTCCATTAGGACTGTAATAAATAGTGCAGAGCAATGATTAATTAAAGAGAGAACTATGATTTACTCACTATCCATTAACAAGAATAATCCCATTTTAGCACAAAACAGCACAGACTAAGGGAGTCCTGGGAGGGTCAGTAGCAACTTTGGACTGCGCAGTCCTAGGAGCCCTCCCCCACCTTCTTAAGGTATGGAGAAAGTTCTTTATAGCTTTAATCTGTCTCAAGCTGATGGTGAGGAGGCAGTGAGCTCTCCTTGTTTCTATTTCTTACCAGTTTTGCAGCTGAAGTTATTTTTCAGATCCCCAGTTTCCTCATTCATAAAACAGAACTAATAATTCATGTATCTCAGAATTGTTGTTATGCTTAAATAAAATAACCAGGGAGAAGCATCTGGAACAATTCCTTTCCTTCTTTCCTCCTCCTTTCCAAGAGAGAAAGAGAAGCAGGATATAAAAAGATGTTATAAACGACTTAAAATAGTTCAGATGAGTTTTAGAGTAGGATTAAGTCTGTTGTTTTTAGAAGTTGTTTGACATGATTTAGAGCATCCGTGCCTAAAAGGCTACTATGTTCTATTTCTTTTTTGTGTCCCTCCTTTCTCCCTCTTTTTCTTCCATTCTCTTTTGTTACAATCTTTTTTCTTTCCCTTCCTCCCTTCTTCTCTTTCCTTCTTCCTGTCAAGACCTATAATAAGGTTTTCTTTCTTCATTACAAAGAAAATGAATGAGATATTTAGTAGCCTTCTGAAGTCTTCAAAATTAGGTGTGTAAACACAGATGGCCCCACACTTGTTTTTCTCTGACTCCATTCCTGCTCGTTTCCGTGAATCTTGCCAA